CATACGGTTGTAAGTGGAGCGAGGCGTCCGGCCTTCCAGCCGTCTTAATGGTAGCATTACCAAATTTGATTTGATTTGGAAGAGGAGAAAGGACAATCAACAAATTCACAACAGGGTTTGAGAGAAATCGGCCTGTTATCTTGAATGTTCGGACCAACCTGGAAATACCGGCCTAGCCGGTTTTGCATATTGTGACAACTATAGTGCACGAAAAATTGCTCAGCGTAACAGGCTGAATGCAGATATTAAAGTGAAGATTGAGATGTTAGGGAAATTATTCAGAACAGAAGTGGCTTACAAGAAAACATAATATTATTCTTTCAACGATTACATGTACATTAGCTTCTAATTGCGAATGTGAAAGCCTGCACATGAATCAGCCAATAACATCAACAACAGGAAGCCATGCGAACAACAATGCTAATCAAATAATCGTAGATTATTGTAATGCTCCAATTATTAAACTCAACAATAATAGCCCGAGGCAAAATATAGTAGTCTTTGTAGACCGAAAAGGCAAGAGCAAAACTGAGGTAGACACTAGAAACGCGGGCGCGGTTTTGCCGCGCCTTTCCTTTCGATTAGGCCAGTGGCAATAAGAATATAGGTTGATGAGAAAATCAGCAATTTTTTTATTCATTTTATGATTTGTATGTATTTTCGAGAGTTTATCATCATGAATGTATAATTTTATTTACCCCTAAAAGCACAAGTAAAAGTTTATATGGAAAAATTCTTACTAAAACATGTGATATTATGGATGCACTGTATAGTTTTGCTCGTTATGTTTTAGTTCTACTCGTTAGGATTTCAGATCAACTTGATTTTCTAATTTACAATTTTTCTGTGATTTACTATGCAATTTTAAAGTTTCAGCTAATTTATTTTTTGGAAAAAATCAAACTGACATGCGAGGCCCACAATAGCCTAAAAGAACTGAAACTTTGGGGCGGCAAGTCAAGCTTAGTCTCTATGCATGCACAGGCGTTTGCATTTTTTTTTTTGGATGGAGGTAGTACATTCGATCGGCTCATTATCGTTCCATCACATCTGCATAATGAGTGCGTACGTATACATGGCCCAAGTCACGTATGAACTGCTGCATATATCATGCATGTGAGCATGTCGTTTAGATGCTTAATTAAAGTAATTGCACGTGTGTATTAATTGCACGTGTGTGTATATATATATATATACACAGATGCTGCTGAGCCACGTGGAGCCCCTGAGGGAGCAGCAGATCGTGGGCGTGTACGGGTTGCAGCAGTCGGCGCTGGAGACGGAGGCGCTGAGCCAGGGCCTGGAGGCGCTCTACCAGTCGCTGTTACAAGCCTGTAAAAAAAAAAGAGATATAATCAAATGTGCCCTGTATTTTGATTTGAGAAAAATCTGAGGAGTTTTTCGTAAAAAATGCTAAGAGTGTCTCTAGAGCGTGGGTTGATTTTCGATAAACTGAAGGTCTTTTTTTGAAAAAAAACCAGAGCCCATCCGTTCTGGACTGCGGGTTGATTTGGGAATAATCTGAGGTGTTTTTTGCAAAATATTCTGAGAGGGCCTCTGGAGCGCGGGTTGATTTCTGAAAAGTTGAAGGGGTTTTTCGTAAAATGACCGCGGATCGCCCGATCTAGACCGTCCGCGTGCCCGATCGGACGGCCGCGAAAAGCCCACGACGTGGCCACTCTCGCCGGCCAGCTTTTGGACCCAGGATTCATAGTACTAGTCCATCACGCGTGCCCTCGCGCGCACCGGCAAATCACCTAGTTAAGGCGCAGGTAAAAAACATGTTTAATCTTTGCATGGAAACAATATTAGGAGCTAAATGTAGATATGTCATGCACAAAAACTAAAAGATTGGAGCTTTTTTTTTAAATGGTAGGACCCATCTACTCTGCATACTTTCGAAATCATGGCATTTTCTATGCGTGGTAATCACAAATCTACAATGCAAATTTTAGAGTTGTGTCTTAAGACCTCAAGGCCACACAAAGCACTATAAGCTAATAATGGTGATTAAGAACTTCCACACTACTAAAAAGCTGACAGGCGTAACATACCTGAAATCATATCAATGCTACGAAGCTGAGTTAAAGCCCTCGTGGCATACTAAAACCTGTAGAAAATGTACACACAAATTGGAGCATCAGTTTAGGAACTAAGAAACTAAATCTGTCAAAGATTTTTAGAATAGGAAGGTAGGAGGAAGCAAGGACAACATAAACATAGCTGTGGCAAGAGGTATGTTTACTGTGTTCTGATAAAAGTTCACCAGCCTGATGACTGATCAGATAACTTGAACGGTTATCTAAATTGTGCACCTTATCCAAATATAAGAAGTGTATCATTAATTGACCCATACATGTATATATAGAATCAAAGATTATAAAACAGACACGTCCAAAGATCTATACCTACTACATTATTGGCCAGTTCAAGCAACCAGACTCAAATATACCAAACAAGAGTTCCCTATGATAATAATATCATCGATAACAAAGTACAAAAAAACAGCATGCAAAACCAACAGTTGAGAGCAGTAGAAATTTAATTGGCCAAAGCTTAGAAGGTAAACTGCATGCAAAACCAACAGCTGAGAGCAGTCAGTTGAGAGCAGTAGAAATTTAATTGGCCAAAGCTTAGAAGGTAAACTGCATGCAAAACCAACAGCTGAGAGCAGTAGAAACTAAATTGGCCCAAAGCCTCTAAGTTGCGAGACCTGTAGGTTTTAGCAGCGAACAAAAACAACGTGAGCTGAAACTATGCAGTATTCACTGTATCTCACTGAACTTCTTGGAACTCACTTTGATATAGACAAGGTTCCTCCTTTCTAGCTTCGTTATTAACTTTTCTTTAATGTAATTTAGAGGCAGACATGTGAGTAGATTCTTTAATCAGTTGAAGAGTGGGAGTGCAGGCAAATGGTGCTCATATCCAACTATACTAATTTTAATTGGAAGCTGTAGGTTGACCCTAACTATTTTGCAGGGGCGTCACTGTTGCAGGTGGACCTGCTTTTGCACCACTAGATGCCAAAGCACAGACCAATTTAAATGTAGGTCTAGTGCTGAAATTTAAAAATATTTCAGAAAATACCAAGAACCAAACACCGAAATAGTAAGTAAAATCCAATTGCAATATTTTTTGGATTTGGGGCTGGGATTGGAGACCTGAGGATGCAGTCACCGTGAATTATGTCAATATTGTTCTCTTATACTTTGGCTGCATGGAAGAGATCTGGGAACCATAAATTAGTGGCACAGAGGCTCTTTTATCACAATTGCAACAAAAACCATCTACACCTACAGCCAAAATAAAGTTATGCAATACAAAGGCGGAATCGGACAACATATGTAAAAGGCATTCATACATGGAATCATAAATCCAAACTTAAGGGGTCTCTGAAGGCAACCGAACTCATCAGATTGTAATGTTATAAAAAAAATTCTCGCTCTCAAACACTGACACCCTATTTTTTAGGTTACATACATAATCAGGTACATCTGTGAGGCCAGTTATAGGATGAAAATATTTCTGTCCATCTATCCAGAATTCCCAGTGGGATTGAACCCGTAATAGTTTTCATCATCCTGAGTAGCCATCTCTCCCAAGCACATGATTGAGTAGTAAAAATATCATGTAGTGTTTCATGTTTTTACGTCCTTTGATAATTTGATTTAGTATAGCACTACAAAAGATAATCTAAAACTGTAATGGTGAAGTACACAAGCCAGCAAATTTGATGACAGAGATTGCCTACCAAATTTTCATTCACTGAACAATCAAATACTGCATTTCACTACTATTAATAGGCTTAAAATGACTCATAGGTTGTCAGCAAATTGCACCTGATGCAGTCTGTCCAACAGTTAAAGGGGTGTTGGGCATTATGAGCAAACCCACGTAAGAAGACTGTGAAAAAGGTCGTACATAGAATGGAAGTAGAGGCAAAAGGAGTGAAGCTGGATCTCTGCAACATACTCTCCGATTTCACGGATTTCTGGAACCGTCACCAGCTTCCTGTCGACATCCCTACATGACACAGCATGCCAGCAGTAAGAAAAGCAATAACAATGAGAAATGCTATTAAGATTGCTTAGGAGTTAGGGCATGTGCTTATACTTATTAAGTCGTCAATTTATTATGTCAACAACATCCTGCGCTGTGACGCTGTGTACAATTGAGGATATTGTCAGAAAACAGAAAGTAAGACAACAGAGAATAGATAAAGGATTATCCAACTTAGAACTTGCCTCCCAAAGATTTGTTTTCCTTTTCCACCTTTGAGAGGAATCTTGAAAGGGCCGATGGTTTGAAAAACTCGGGCAAGTTGTTGTGCGTCTTCTTTTAACTATGTAAGTAGAGAAATTCTGAAGGTCATAATTATCAACAAAAATTGATAAGTACTAACCCACCAATGGCATTCATAGAATCTGATGAACATATCATGCTTAGGACTTCAAATTTGGAGGACATAAAGGCACTATATTTTCTTTTGATAAGGACAGCAAGGATAAAGTTTACTCTCAAGGCAAAAAAAAAGGAGGCTGAGGTTAAATTGCAACTGCATTTATTAGTGAGTGAAATATTTTTGTTACCCGCTTCTTCTCAGCTTCTATTCTCTACTGTTGTAGCTGCATTTCCCTGCAAAGAGAAGCAGAGGAAATAAATTCTTTCAGTCTTATTTACACATCAATCAAACATTATGTGTGTTGACCATTTAATATATACTACCAGAATTCTAGAAGAAAGGTGCATGGATTCCTATCTCAATCTAGACTGCTAGGTCCCAAACCTCAGAGTCAAACTAATATATCATAGAGAAGGTCATAAGGTTTTTACAATTGTCAGCAGCCACTGAATCATTTGATAGAGAGTGGAATTTGTAGGTAAGGAAAATATGTGGAACTCAGCAACTAAATAACATAAGTAACAAAGCAAGTGTGGGATAACTAAGGGCTACAATGCAGTGAGTGTGAAATTACTACAATGCAGTGAGCGTGAAATTACTTGAGAACTTCTGGGGTTAGAAGCGTAGGCTTGCCCTTGGGAAGGAGGAGTTTGCGGTAGAATCCAGCTCGCACCTTCATTGTAGCTCCTTTCTTCCCCACCGCTTCTACGTCATCTGTCAGTATGACGTATGGGTAAGATATCTTTCTTTTAAAAGAAAAGTAAACTACATGTAATGCTAAGGATAGCAACAATAGATATACAAGCTGAGCAGGTGAAGTACAGCTGGGTGCTGTACAACATCGTCAATTTAACTGGATGCAACTTTGCTGCATTCTTGTACAATCAAGCAACCACAACAAAACGAACTTCTGAGAAAAGGTGGCAAAGGAGATATAGGTTTTTTTATGTCACCGTAGCAGGACAAAGCAAGGTCAGGGAGGACGAAATAGAGCAGAGGATGCAGCTGGACTGGCCTCGGTCGCGTCAACGGGGCCGGTCACGACGTAAGCGAAGTCGGGCTCTTGTTGGGTCTTGCGCCAGCGTCGTGAGGGCGCTTTCAGCGCACCGATCTGCGCGGGCGGGGCCGTCGCGGCGGCCGACGGCTGCATTGACGGCTCCCCGCGCTGGCGCGCCGTTCGATCCGGCCGCACCGAGGGCTTCCCGCACCGGTACGGCACCCGATCCGGGACGAGAAGGGAGAGGCAGCGACAGATCAAGAGACGGAGAGGCACCTAGGGTTTCCTGTCGCCGCGCCGTCGCGGGCCGACACCGCTTAATGCGGTGCGCCGCCGGCAGTGGTCCGGCTAGCACGAGGCGACGCGAGGGGGGAGGAGGAGGGCGAGGCCGTCGGCGGCAGCGCGGGTCGCGGACAGCGCGAGGCACCGTCGCCCTACCGTCGCCCGTTGGGGGAGAGAGGGAAGAGGAGAGAGGATGGGGAAAGGAGCGTCTAGAAGCTAAATTAGGAGGCGCGAATATATTGGTCTGGGCGGATTCTGACGAGGAGCCTGAGAAGCCGAGCAGAAGTTGAGAAGCCATAAAAGGCGAGGAGAAACAGGGGAAGCCGCTTACGACGAAATCCGCTACAACAAATCTGGGACGTCCAACGCGATATCGAACGGCTGGAAAAATTTCGGGCGACGTGGATGCCCTGTCTGGCGGCCAAAGTAAACTCGTTTGATAATAAGAGATAAAGATTACAAAGCATAGCACACAGCAACCTAACTTCTAACTTCTATACATAGTAACATATGGGCAAAGGGTAACAGCACATAACCAAAAACTCTGCTTCATTGCCCAGCCCCTGCAGCATCCTCGACTAGACAACGAGCAACCTCAGCCTCCGGCTTAAGACATCAAGATCATCCATCCTCGCCGAGCAACCTCAGCCTCCGGCTTCCTCCGGCTTAAGACGTCAAGTCGTCAAGATCATCCATCATTTGCACTCTCCAATGCTTGGCAAGCTCGCTTTCCTCAGCACCTCCATCCACATCGCCTCCATTGATAATCCTGTTAACCTTTGCCTCCCTCAGGCACTCCTCAAACACATCCAGCACAGCATTTGCCATTCGGTGCCATTGCTGCATGGCACCACCATTTTGCAGTCCACATTCATCTCATTGCCAATTCCATTGTTCCGATTGGGCAGAGCAGCCATGGTCTCAGGCTGCTCCTGCAACACCAAATCTGATGTGTGCTATAAGAGTTGTACCTTCATGATCGCCCAGTTGCCTGCTTTCCTGCTCAAGGTAGAACATATTCGGCACTGGAACCATCTGAAAACAAGCTGGGAGCAGAGGAGCTAATCACATTGTAGTCATGGGACAAATTGAATTTCTTCTCAATTTTCTTGATATGTTTCCTCAGAGCACGAGGGGCAAAATTCTGCTATGCTGTACTTGCTCCTTTACGAAAACTGTCAAAATTTTCGTGTTTAGATAGGCGCTTAAAGTCCATTGCCAACAGTGCAGATGTGCTAAGTTAGATTGACATATCTTACTACTTGTACAAATTATTGTTTAATCAACAATGAACAGTGGAATGCTACTTTTTCCTTTCATGATCTAAAATATTGGCTTTCACATATATATACTGTAAACATTGTATGAAAAAACAATTAAAACTCCAATTCTGAAATGAACATGTCATTATTTTCACCTTTTGCATGTACAAAAAATTGATATTGGTCTCAACCATAGAAGCCAGTGAATGCATTTGCATGGTACTCCTACCAGTACAATTATCACACATTTCATGGTTGATTACATATAGAAACATACAAGTGCCTGCGGTCTTAATATTAATCAGTAGAACATGCATTGTATCCTTCTACATTGGCTCTATGGAGCTTGACTCTCAAGGCTAGTGTACTTGATCAAACAAACTAACACTGGTAGCACATACTTGAAAGGTTGAACTCCCAACCCAAGTCCACAAGCTGCAATAATCCCATCCATTCCAAGAAACAGATTGAAACTTCGAGTGCAATATGGATCTAATTAAAGTGAACACTGCCAAACTGAACATACTCTCACCTCAGGTGGCAGCGATGTCCACAGTTTCTGTTCTGCTCCCAATGTTACGTCAGGGACGTCTCACGCTCCAGCATCTCATTCTGGATAGCTACCAAGCCACACGTGCGGCCTGCCTCTTCCTATCACAGCATAAATGAGTCTGAACAAAACAGAGAGAACAAAACTAATTGGATGGAAACAAAACTATCACAGTGGTGGCGGCAGCAGCCTGCACCACAACGGGTTAGAGATACCGCCATACCAGCGAAATGGACGGAGATGGAGGTGGCGATGATCTTGCCTCTCCGGCACCACTGCTCACGCTAGGTGATGCCACACCTATTCCTCCATGGATTCCTAGGGCCAACGCCATGGTGACACTAGAGCCCACACAACCAAAACCTTGTATTGCCTGCAAGGAGGAGACCAGCCCTGGCAGCATCGCGCAGAGGAGACTGTCACCTCCTTGGAGCTTGCTCCCACATGCCGCCACCAGGAGAAAAGGGAAGGGCGCTATCCCACCACTCCTATCTGCCAGCCCAAGCAGCTCCATCGTCCTCTGGCAGAGCTCTGTTGAGCCCGGAGGGAAGGGCGGAAGGCGGCTGCAGGCAGTCGGAGTGAGGGGAAGCAATTGGAGCCGGCGGGCGCTGCGGGTGGGCATGGTAGGGTGGAAGCGTGGATGCGCTGCGAACAAGGGAGCAATGGCTTGCAAATAATTCATGCTCAGCGTAGCAGGCTGAATGTAGACATTGTACTGAAGCTATAAGAGAAGCATTAAGAGATAACAAGTGGTTAACTAGGAAACATAATATTATTCTCTCACCGCTAACAAGTTACAAGTACAACAGCTTCTAATTGGAAAAATGGAATGTGAAAACCTGTAGCTACATTAACAGAGCTATCATCTATATCAACAGCAGGAAGCCATGCGAATAACAGTGCTAAAAGCATAGATTATTATGCTAAAATTATTAAACTCGAGGGTACATAGGCAAATATAGTAGGCTTTCTAAAGGCAAGGGTCCAGCTGAGGAAGACATTACAAAGCATAACACAATAACCTAGCTTCTATACAAATGGGGCAAAGGGTGTGAGGCACATCACCAAAACCACCAAAATCTCTGCTTCACTGCCCAGCCGCTGCAGCATACTCAACGAGCAACCTCAGCCTCCGGCTTAAGACATCAAGCTCATCCATCCTGTGCGCTCTCCACCGCTTGGAGAGCTCACTTTCCTCAGCTCTCCCATCCACATTGACACCATTGATAATCCCGTTACTCTTTGCCTCCCTCAGGCATTCCTCAAACACATCTAGGACAGCATTTGCTATTCGATGCTCATTGCTGCACGGCACCACCATTTTACACTCCACATTCATCTCATTGCCAATTCCATTGTTCCCATTCGGGAGAGTAACCACGGCCTCAGGCTGCTCCTGCACAATAACACCGAATCTGCTATCTGCTACCAGAGCAGCACCTTCATGACCACCGAGGTGCCCGCTTTCTTGCTCAAGGTAAAACATATCCTCGCCATTGGAACCATCCGGAAACAAGCCGGGAGCAGAGGAGCCAATCCCATTGTAGTCATGGGAGTTGCTATCCCCAGACGCATCTGGGGGAGGGAGCGGCGTGCCCCGCGGGTTGGCGCGGCGGCGCTTGTTCCCGGACGTTCCGGCGCTGGCCGCGAAGGGCGACGTGGCGGCGTTGGCAGGGTCCCACAGCCTGGAGCAGAGGTGGAGCACGTCGCGGTCGTGCGGCGCGAGGCGAGCCAGGTCTAGGCCCCCCGCGACGCGCGCGGACATGCTGCGGAACTTGTTCTTGAGGCGGCGGAGCTTCTCGGAGAGCTGGGCGCGGGTGTAGGGCTGGGGCATGGACTCGGAGAAGCGGTCGTAGAAGACGTTGAGGTCACGCGGGAAGACGAGGCCCTGCGCGCCGCAGCCGAGGAGGCCCTGCAGGAAGCGGAGCTCGTCGGACTCGGACCAGATGCGCTGGAACTTGAAGGGCGGCTGCTGCTGGTCGGATCCGCCGCCACCGCCGCTGCCGCCGCCGCCGCCGGGCGCGGGCGCGCGGAGCGGGTCGGAGGAGGCCGGTGAGGAGGAGGATGGGGGCGAGGACGACGGCCGCGGGGAGCGGCGCTTGATGGGGAGCTTGCGCGCGGCGGAGGCCGAGGGCGGGGTCGGGTCGGCTGGTGCGGTCGGGTTAGGGTTGGGCGGGACGGGGACGGGGACCGGGACCGGGAGGGCCTGTTGGTCCGAGGCCATGGCGCTGGCTGGCGCGCACGGATCGAGCGAGCGCGCCCCCTCTCTCTGCGGGCGGGCGGGGCGAGGTGCGACGAGAACGAGACGGGACGGGAGGGAAGTGGCGTGGTGGATTTTGGGTCGCGCACGGCGCGGCGCGGCCGGACGGACGGACGGACGGGGGAGGTGGTGGGATGGAGACGGCTAGGGCGAGACGGGACGGGATAGGGGCGGAGGGGAACCGATTGGGTTTAGGTTGGGGGGGTTGGTTGGCTCGCCCGGAATCCGTGGGTTCTGTTGCCTCTGGGTCTGGCCGTGGCCGGTGGTGGGCGATGCCGTGCCGCCGTGCGTGCTCGAGTGGGTTTGCCGGCTTGTCGTCTGGTGCGGCGCGGGGAGCGTTGCGCGGTCTTTGCGAGCGGCGTGTATCATGCGCACGTACAGTAGAGCGGTAGATGAGCCGGGTGCTCGGTGCCTCGTGGTGGACTGGTGATAACTGACGGGAACGCCTGAATTTTTTCTATTTCAGTATTTTTTTCCCCGTAAAATGAACTAATTTCAATGACATTCCTGCACAATTGTTGTGAAATTCCTAAGTACCAAATAGGCCGTGAGTGATGATGGGATTGTTTAGACCGTGTTTTGTTTGGCTGAAAAGTGTCATTTCACACCTAACAATCAAACCAAACAGACCATTAGTTCTTTTTTTTAGTCTTGCTTCACCTTGTCGAGCAAGAAGTCACATGAGACTAGCTATTTGGATTCTAGACAAACTTGCATGAGGCAAATTTGTTCACCCCTCCAGATTATGTTATTTTAGCTTTTTTTAGATACAAGTAAAGCTACGTATCTAGATACATATTATGTCTAGATACACGACAAAAGCAATGTAACTAGAAAAATCAAAATAGTTGTTCCACCCTGTTAAAAGCTAATCTAGTCGTCGATAAAGGGATAAGGCTCCCATCAGACTAAGTTTTTTATATACTATTATTTTGTAAAATACTTTGGTTTTAAAATCACAAAAAAATTGGATGCACTTTATATTTGAAAATCATAGTTCTGCTTGGAGTTTTAAAAAAGACATTGGTGTTCTTGCCATTTATTTGATACCTAATTGTGATTTCACCCATATTTTTTACGATTTTGCCAAGGAGGATTATTGTTGTGGTAGAACCGTCCGAAATAACACGTTTTCGAAGGCTCTCGTCTTTCACTAGACACTAAGCACCCCGAAAATTAGCTACATCGGACAGTTCCGTCGAGCACAACCCAAGGAAGAACTCGAACAATCCACGTTTTTCACCCAGAATCCAATAATGAGTACGAGCTTTCAATACTTAGTCTATTTCATACCACAAGAGTTCTCGGAAATACATTATTACAATACCAAGTTCAGAGTGTAGAATTTAAACAGCGGAATTGAAATAAATATCTAACGATAAGATACAAGAATCTGTCTGTGCCCACCAGAAGAATCCTCCACACAACAGCCACTTCTCAAGCTGCACCTGCAACAGGGGTAAATAAACCCTGAGTACACAATGTACTCGCAAAACTTATCCGCCTAGTGAGAATAATTTCCCGACTCCAAAGGATATGATAAGCTTTATGGTTTGCTGGATTTCTTTTTTGTTTGCGACAAGCATTACTAGTAGTGAATCCTTATGTATGTGTTTTATTAGCAGTCATGATTAGTTCCTTAGCTAACCATTCTATGTAAGCACCTGTTCTACTACCAAGCAAGAGTTGAGCAATCAGATCCATTCACTTTCTTTCATCTTTTAGTTTTTACTACGACGCTAGATCATAGCCAAGCCATACCGTATCACACGGCAATTCGTGAACTAATGTATCCCAGTTGGGTATCCCGAAACACATGTCCCGCTTGTACCCCAAGCACAAGCAAGACCAACCCACCACTCTCCTGTCAAGGGGTCCAGGTCACCGTCCAAACTTGGACTCCAAGCCTCCACTCCTGAGTCCCGAACTCAGTGTGGTGCTTAGACCTCCATCATCCCCGCCTCCAATCAGTCGGTCCGAAAAGAGCTGGAACCCACGACAAGAGAGTAACGAGCCTTCTTGCTCCCATAAGCAAGTATGTGCTCAAGATATTAAGTCTGTGACCTGACTAGAATCCACAGCAACCGACGGTCCATAACCGACTCGGACAGAGAAAATAGTATAACTAAGCTATGCCCCGTTGGCCACGGGACACAACCTATTACACCCACCAATACCCGTACCATATTCTGCCCGGTCTCCATTTCTTTTCACCATTTTATCATGATAGTAATAATAATAATCACCTATTGTGAGTAACGGCATGTTACTCACGCTACCGATAGCCCAAGCATAGCAGCTACTCGACCTATGCTAGTAGGACTCATAGGTAGGTTATCTATGCATGTAGTTTCAATATAAATCCTGTAATGTAAATGCACGTCACATATATATATATCCAGTGATTATTTAAAATAAGGTTTATGCACCGGGACTTGCCTTGGGTAGAGGGGTGTCAGCAAAGTCAGTCACTGGTGGCTCCGGGGCTCCCTCATGTACGAGAACCTCCTCCTCATACTTCTCGATCACCTCCTCATACTCCTGCTCACCCGCGGTCATGAACTCCATCAACTCATTCTCTACATGCATGCAATGATGAAGCAACACTTAGTATTACGACAACAACAACTCTTAAAATAACAATACATCTACCAAGCTACTAAACTAACTCTAATGACTAAGATGCTAAGCTACCCATCCTTTCCAATAAATATGTATGAAACATTCAAGTATTATCTTAGCAACTAAAATACATTTCTTCTTTTATTAACGATTTAATGTATATTAAAACAAGGAGCACCAAACTACTTTATTTCTCGGTCTATTCTAGGGCCACAAAAATTACAATGAGCACATAATAATACAATGAATGTACTATAAAAATTTCATGAACAAACTATTACCAATTTGCCACAAAAATGCCTATAAATATTAACCTAAATAATGTTAAACACTCTCAAACGATATAATAAGCCTTAGCATCAACTCAGACATGCATAATCTAGTCATACCATCAGATAGACAACATTTTTAGAAACTCAACAAAATTTATTTCATAATTTTTTGACACCTATGTGAATTGATATTAATTTTCAGCTCATAAATTAAAACATAAAGCTATTTCTAATTCCTTAGGAAAAGAAAAAATGAATTCACCAGCGCGGCCCACAACCACGCGGACTTGGCCCACTTACGCGCAGCGCGCGCACACGTGCGGCCCGTAGGCGTGGCCCACGGACACAGGCCGACCCACGGCAGGAGACAGCCTACGCGCTGGCGCTATTGCAAAGACGCCTTTGCGCTACCTAGTATTCGCACGACGCTGTTCGCACTATTCGTATAGACATCAACTTTGCAAGAACACCCTCATAATCTCCCTCCTTTACAACGATATGGTCCTCGACCATCCCCGCGCGCCCGCCGGCATGGCGAGCGGTGGCACTGGCGCTTGCGCCGGCCATACGGGACCCACGCTGACCTATCTACGAGGCCAACGCTCACCTAGGATTTAACACGAAGCGATGGGCGGCATCTGCATGAACTGAGACGCAGTAGAATGGCCTCTCCACGATGGCGGGCACCCTACGGCAATGGCGACGGCGTTCCTGTGAGCCACAGTATTAACAAGGTAGTAGGGATAGTGTGTGAGCAATAGGGACTCACCACTGACCTAAGCGGAGGTGATGGTTCGACCGGAGATGCCCCGAGGGAGCTTGACTGCGTGCACGCGGCGAGCTCGACGGTGAACCGCAGTGACACGGTGGTGCCGGCGAGGAGGCAATGGTAGAGGTGCGGCTTAGGTGCACACGACGAGGAGGGGTTCTAGGCGAGGCTAGTGGTGCAGCTAATTCGGCTCGAGACGTTGAGGAGAGGGCTGGCCATGGTGAGGGCGGTGACGGGTCTTACGGCGCGGTGGTGGGGCGAAGCTCCAAATTGGAGCTTGGCCTTGGACGGTTCAAGTCTGGGTGGGGGCGGGCAGCGAGAGGACGTGAGAGCACAGGCGCAGGCACGTGGAATTGATGGGGGTGGCTTCTCGCATACAGGCAGGCTGGCGAGGCGTGGCGGCGGCAGCAAAGAAGAGTATAGGGGAGGGACGGGCAACGATGGGGACGCAGTCAAGGCTCGGCCTGTGCTTGCCTAGCGGGACGCGGTTGACGCGACCGGAGCGTCCACGACCAGCACTAGCCGACGACACGCGCTCGAGGTCGATGTGGCCCGCGTGCCACAGTGCCATAAATGGCAAGACGATGGCGGTTTGGCCTCGTGCGTGCAGCGTCCAGGCGAGCCAGTGGCGCAGCGCAGCGATGCGATGGTAGCAGCGTTGTTGTGGCATGGCACGAAGGGCAGCAACAACGCGTGGCAACGGCAGCAGGCGGGGGCAGCGCGACGTGGCGAGTTGGGCAGCCATGGCTCCACGCGGCGTCAGCCCAAGGCGGCCAGTGATGCGGCCAGAGCACGGGCAGCTCCAGCCGGCCAGCGCGTGGCCACGCGTGCGCTTGCGTGCACCGAGCACCACAGCATCGATGCTGCTCGGCATGGTGATCGCGTCCGGCCGGGAAAAACAGCTCGAGAACACGCTGTGCACGGATTTTAAAGCGTTCGAAACAACTACACAGTTGATCCAATCCCCAGACCACCTTGACTACTCTAAAGAGGGCACCTTAGGCTATCAACAAGAGCTAAAGAACAACACCACTCCTAAACTCAATTTTTATAGAATAAATTACCAAACATAGCTTTGTCAATCTGTTTTTAGACTTTAGAAATTGACTAAGTCTTGAGTTGGATTTGCTTCAAATTCGATTTTCAAGCTATTAGAAATGTTAGCTAGCGTTATTATCTTGTTAAAACAAAAGTTGCACTATCTTCTATAAAATGTGTGCTTCAAACTTTATTAAGGTGTCACATATATATTTTATAGCGTTTTTGTTCAATAAAAATTAGTTAGCATATCTACTTGCTAA